GTTTCTTTATTTAGTACTAATTTGTTTCACTCACTGTAGCAAATGCAATAGTTCAATAAATGTTTGAAAATGTATAAACATATTGGTTCAATAAAACAATTAGTTACGTTTGTGAGTTTTATTTAATATCCTCTTACATATTTATCTAACGGAATCAACACTACAATGATTCAGCATAACAATATTAAGTTATATAAATATCTTTCAAAGTATTTGTCCAGCAGCACGATATGAGTCATCATGATCTACCACGACGGTATAGGCCAACATAGACAAACTGTTGGGATCGAATCGTTGTTCCTTTTCATTTTTCTCAATTCTTTTCTTATACTTAATGATGCGATCCTTTTTCTTGACATTATCGAAGTTCAGGTCAGTTAATTTCCATTCTACAAGAACAGGATTTATTCCACTTGAAAAGTGTATTGCCACTTTGCACGCGGTTAAGTCGAACGATTTAAGGATACATAGAATTCTGGCTTCCAACGAAAATTGAAGACGAGGTTCAACAAAAATAATATTAAATATAAATCCATCAAACTTCAAATAGCAGCAGGGCCACTTGGACTGATAAAGATAGTCATATTTAGACATGTGATTGTCTGCGCAGTTATCCTTAGACCATTTTTGTGTATTTTCATCTGCTTCGACGTAAATATCGATGTCTGTATAAGAAGACGTCCGACCTAAGAGAAACGCTGCACATCCCCCAGCCATGAAAGTTCTGGACGACCGAAATTTTTGATGTAACAAACTTTCAACTGTTTGAATGATACGACGTTTTTCTTCATTCAGTGAAGATATATCAAGATTGCGAGAAATGAAACTTGTGTTTTTTAATGAGAACATATCTGATGTGTGAACTGTACTCACATGCTTACAAAAGTTACTTTTATATACCAAATATCAAAAAATTGCTGAATTGCAATTCACACGGAAATAGTTTGAAGAATTGCTGAATTGCAATAAATTATTAAATGACCATATATGGACATGAAAAAACTGCTGATTTGACATTTCACCCTCCTACTTCATTGCAATCAATCTTTAAATGACCATATATGGACATGTAAAACTGCTGATTTGACATTTCACCCTTCTTCGCCATTTATTTTCTGCATATTCTGCATTATTTTTCCTATATATTTTGCATAGGAACTCGTAATTGTTTGTCTTAATTCTGTGTCTGTTAGTGTTAAGTGCTAATTGTTGAAAAAAAAAAAAAATGAAGTATTCCTTGAGTCTCAAGAAACCAAAAATTAACATCCTCCAGGATGTAGTGATACAGGTAGGTTTTTTATTTTTGATTAATTTAAAAAAAAAATGTTTTTATATTCATAAAATGTAGAAATGTTTATAAGTATTTATTTTATTTTCAGCCGCCTTTGCCCAAACTGCGTAGACTTGCAGATCTACCTGAGGAAGAAATTGAAAAACTAAAAACAAAAAGTGAGGACGCCTCCACTTCCGCTGTGGAAGACTCCCAGACACCTTCCCAGCTAGATATATCAGGGCTGGAGGAGCCGTGCGTCTCTATGACGCCCTCACTGTTTGAGGGGTTAGAGGCGCACGGAAAAAGCTTGTCTTTCCTTCGTAATGTTTACGGAGTTACGGAGGAAGACGAACAGAGGCAGAGAGAGCAGCAAGAGCAGCAGGAGCAGGAGCAGGAGCAGCAGCAACAGCAGCAGGAGGAGCAGCAACAACCGGTCCGCAAATCACCATCACCACCGACGTCTCAACCAACACCTGCCCCTGATACACCTCATCCTGCTGCACCTGATGATTCGGGTGATGAATTCGAAGACGAAGACAATGCATCTACATTATTGTATAATTTTAAGTGGAAGTGTAGGGCAGCGCAGGACAGACATAATACGCGACAAAGGGAACTAGTGCAAAAACAAAAAAAGTGCAAAAAAAACATTAAAAAATTAGCAAATCAAATTGCAACTCTCCAAAGACAGTTAGTGGAAGAACAAAGTGAATTGCGGGGTGCAGAAAACGAAATGAAAAAAAGTATTCAAAAATCCGACAAATTAAAGAAACTATATGTAAAAATAAAATGTATATAATCTCATAGTGTCAGTAGTAGTGTTAGTAGCGTTAAAAGTGTTGAAATGTTTTAGTAGTAGAATTAGTAGTGATAGTGGTGCTTGTATTGTAATAGTAATATTTATATATCAATAAATAATATAAGTATTTTATTTCGCTTGTTTTTTTTTTTTTTTTTTAAGTGTTGCATGTTGGGCAGTATATATCCAAATCAATGGTTTTGCCAAACAATATCCTGTAGCATTTTCGCTAAAATTTTTGGAACCACTATAATCGTCAATAATGGTGTAATTAGGTGACTTGCAGCGGCTTTTGTTTCTTAAGACAAATTCTTGTTTATACTGTAGTGGGATCGATGTATCGATAATATCAGGAATATTGTGACAAACCATACACGAGCATTTCTTAAACAAAAGTCCATGTTCTCCTTGGGAATGGTATCGCTGTTAGTATTTAGAGAGGTAGCTTGTAGAGATGGTAAGTTCTGGTAGGGTGGTACAAATTAACGAGTAGAGACAGACAAAAACAAAAAATTATTTTTGTTTATTTTTGCCGAACACAGCGTTATAAAAATTTATTGATGTCTTGTCGAGCATCAAGTCATCCTTCAACGATGGAACGTACGTCCCACTGGCGTCGTCGTCCCAATTTTCGAGTGATGTTACTTTTGGGGGTTCAGAATTGAACCATTTTGATGGTTGAGATGGTATCGGTGGTGATGCTTTGGGAAGTGCAGCTTCGCGGAGCTGTCGCTCCCTTTCCCAAGCCTCCCTATGACACCTAAATATATGCCTCTGGAGTCTCCCCTCTAGCATTCGATGGCTCCTATCGTATGGGCAAACTATAAAATCCTCTAAACAAAACAAAAAAAATATATGAAATTTACATACTGTAATAAAAATATAACCTTACCCATGTCCCTAGATATCTATTGGTTAATTCTCTTGATACTAGTTAATCAGTTATAATCACATCTTTCATATAGTCTTGAATTTATATACGAAATTAATCCCTTCTTTTACTCTTTTTCCCTCTCTAATTTTTATTTCAAGTTGACGATTCAGTTGTTTTTCTCTTATCGAAAATGCAAGAGTTTCACTAATTCAGAAAGATTTAGCAACTACGATTTAATACAACAACAAGTTATTTAATACGTTTTAAATTATTTGTCCAGCAGCACGATATGACTCATCATGATCCACCACCACAGCATAGGCTAACATATACAAATTTAGAAGTAGTAGAAGTATCAATATATATATATATATCTTTTTTTTAATAGTGCTTTTTGATGGTTTTTTGTTGGTTTTTGATAGTTTTTTGGTTTTTTATTTGTTTTTGATGTTTTTCTTTTTTTTTTATTGATTTTTTTATTGATTTTTGATGGCTGTTTATAGGTTTTCGTTTTTTTTTTTTAATGATCTTTTGTTGTTTTCATATAAAATTCAACAAAAAGCGGTTTTTGGTTAACTGGAATTTTTTTTTTTACTGTCTTAGTATATTTAGTTGTGATGGTAGTAGTCATATAACAATAAATATAAAGAATAACCTATTTCGCTTTTTTTTTTTTTTTTTTTTTTTTTTTTTTAAGTGTTGCATGTTGGGCTTATTCGAATCCTTTTTCGATGGTCTTTTTTTCGACCTGAAAAAAGTTTTACGTAGCGACCTCGAAAAAACTAAAAATGGCTCCTGTATCAAGGTTGACGTGGACAGAATCGATTTTTTTGAACAAACTTATGCGTTCGTTCCAGAAGAAGGTTTTGATGTATGCAACCGATATTCTATTTCTTACCATTTGGACACTAGAAACTTTTGCCCTTTTCTCCCTTATTTTCAACTTTTTTCAAAATTTTTTTTGTTCAACATATGCCTTAATTTTTTTAGCATTTCCCCGTTCCCCTGAGCCGACATGCTACCTCTTACCGCTTACGAACTATGACGTTTTTTCGTTATTACTACTAAACGGTAGCAAAAAATATTTATTTTGCTAAGTGGACCTATAGACTGTTCACTCAGAAATATTTTGGTACAAAAATATATTTTTTAAGTTTTACCGTTTGGGCGCCACAAACTTTTGCCCTTTTCACAGTCATGTCAAAAGTTAGCGAAAAACCGTCGACGGCTGTCGATATTATTTGTTTTTGTCAATCTTTTTTGCTCTATACACGAACCTCCTATCTCTTACCATTTTCGAGTAACAAAAATTTTTTCTATTTAAACGGTAGATACACCTATGAGTCATAATCATTTTTACACACGATTAGATAGTACTTCATGAATATGCATTTGATTTTGTGGAAAAACAAACTTTTCAAAATTTGGATTTTTTTTTTGAGATTTTTTTTGTTTTAATTTTTCTTTGGATTCTTTGAATTTTTTAAATTTTTTTTTTCACCAAAACTTCTAATTTACTTTCCTACTGCTCAAGGAAAACTTTTTTTCGAATTTTGACAACCTTTTTTGACAAAAATTGTTGCGCCCCAAACTCAAATTTTCACATATTTAATTATATGGGCCTATCGATTATTCATCCGAAAATAATTTGACACAAAAAACAAATTTTTAACTAATTCCGTTTGGTCACCACAAACTTTTGCCCTTTTCTCCGAAATGCTAAACTCAAACTAAAAACCATCGACACAGGTGCATGTGTTTCGTATTTTAGGAACTTTTTTGTTCTTTGCACGAACCTCATATCTCTTACCGTCTTCGAGTAAAACATTTTTTTTTATATTTAAACAATTATTGCACCTCTAACCCACATTTATTTTTACACAAATGTGTCATTAGTTTATAGGGATGCATTTTTACTTTTTTTTTTAACAAACTTTCTGCCCTTTGGCACCCTCAAGCGATAATTCTTTTTTCTAATATTTCCGAATACGTCCCTGTCTATTGAGAAAAAGCGTCCAGTTCCGTAAGAATTTGCTGAAACAGCATCGCGTTATTTAATTCTGTGTTGTAATAATGACGGGCGGCGTGTTTCGGTTTATGAATTTTACCGTGAAAGATTTGGGAAAAAGGTGGTTTTGTTGCACTAAATGGTGACTTCTGTGATGTGTGCGTGTATATGAATGTTTTCGAGGGACAACGGATAATTTAATTGCCTGTTTTCAATGTCGTAAGCAAACATTTTTTAATTTTAAACAACACACACTCGCCTTCCGACATTTTATTCTAATAATCACGGACGTTGTTTTGCATAATTATTTTTACGTTGAACTGATTGTAACGTACGAGATTTCGAGTGCAAAGAAACTTAAATCGGCGGAAAGTTGCTGATGAACATTTATTTAAAGAAAATAACTGGAATTTTGTCGGAACAAACACGGCTTTTATTCGTTGCGGTTATTCGCAATTAAATAATTTTATATGAGACTGGGGAAAATAATACACCAAACGAAATAAACAATATTTATTATAATTTTAATTACAACTTAAGATTACACAAACAAGTTCGTACTTTATACATTTTAAGCAACTAATAAGTTTTAAATTTAAATCTAATTCAGGACGCAGTGGTTTAACTGCAATGTGCACAGCTATTTAACTATTTTCTTTGCTGAATAATTTTCAATTCTGAATCCAATTTTTCGATTGTTTCTCTAAATTTTCGTTTCTCCTCCATCATTTTTTCGATTAAGGGCTTTATTTGCAATTCGAAACGTTCCACATTCATTTGAAATCTTTTAACATCGTATAACCAAGTATTAATTCGGCTTTCTTTATCATTTATTAAGAAAATAACCGGAACTTTGTCGAAACAAACACGTCTGTTATTCATGACGGTTTGCAATCAAATATTTTTTACATGAGACTGGGGAAAATAATACACCGAACGAATTAAATAATATTTATTATAATTTCTATTACAACTTAAGATTGTTCAATTTAGTCCTTATTTCATACATTTTAATTGCTTCTTTTAAATAACTAATTCGTTTTAAATGTAATTCTAATCTACGATGAAGCAGTCTAACTGCACTTGATTTGTTTTCCACATGAACCAATGCCTTCTTCATTCTTCGATAAATTCGATATTGATGGTTCGACCGATCGGACCTCTATTTACCAAGTACAATTTCAAGCCGTTCACGATCTTCTGGTTCAGATCGCTGATCACTGAGTCGGTGAATTTTTCGGTAAATCTCTGTGGAAGTATCGTTCTAGACTCTTCAAGTTGCACAAATATCTTGTCACCGTACTTTGTAGACAGTTTACTAAAATTTTTTGTTAAAAATTTTTTATTTTCTTCTAAAGTTTTCGCACTCACAAAAGCTTGCAAGTGAGACTCTTTATTCAAGGTAGAAATGAAAGATGACATTTCTAAGTGTTAAATAATTGAATTCAAAAAACTAATTAATTCTTACACACGAATCCATCGACTTTTATACAAGTATAAAACGGAAGTGGGGATGCGAGATTGCGTCCGAGATCCCTCCCCGACCTAAACGAAAAGAGGGGATAGATCTCGAGATGAACGAGGGCAATAAACGACCAAGGTCGAGCAACGACTAGGTCAATGATCGCCCGATGAAAAGTAATGGGGGAGCTGGACCAGCTGGCAAGGTCAGCCACGTGCACCGACAAGCTCGACAACAAATGAAAGGTCAATGACCGCTCGATGAAAAGTAATGGGGGAGCTGGACCAGTTTGACCTCATTTGACCTGGTCTAGAACCCCCACTATATAACTACTCACGTTTCACTGCGGACGTAAACGTCACGGGTAAAGTATATTTATTACATACAGGATGTTACTGAAATGCACGTAAAAGAAAATTGAGTGTTCTGTGAATTCTAAGGATTGAAACAAACCTTGGGTTTATGGTCAAAATTATACAAAGGAAAATTGATCTCTTATCTGTCCCCTATAAGTACAAGAAAGTGTTACGATGATCGGTAATTGATGAAAATTGGGTAAAACTCAACAATTTATTTATCAGTAGTACTAATTTACACAACTAAGTATACAGCGATTATGTACAGAATAATTCCGACTCGAGGGGAATGAATTTAACTAGACTCTATTTTTCCCACTCTACTCGTTGACTGAGACTGCCTCGTTCCCGAAGGTGGCCTCTATTTAAACCCATACATTCCTCTGGATGGTTCGCGAACGCAGCTTCGAGGATTTTCTGGACTCCGCACTTTATGCGCACTAACGGAGCGCCACACACTAGAACGGACTACAATCATCACCAGAAAAATATTTAAAAAATTCTAAGGCACTTATTTTTTGATCTACTGGTCTTTAAAGACGGCATTTACAAAGAATATCAATAAAAAATCTATGCATTTGATGTTCTTTAAAGTTACCTTAAGCCATACGTATTATCACAAAAAAAAACAAGATTACTCACTGAGAACAACTACAGATGAGGCTAAAACAATATCTTTTGGCAAAACGTTTCATTCATCAAACACTCTGTTAGTTATGAAGCTCTGTCTTACAGTGGTGCGAAATTTGTCTTTGAGCAGTTTAAGTGGATGAAGAAGTGAAAGATCGTTGCTCAACGCCTGGTATACAGTTATAAGGTCGCCCCTTTTACGTCTTTCAGTTACCTCCGGAAAATTAAAATCTCCGAAAATGTAAACTTTATCATATTACCTTCTAGTTATATCAATATCTGATCTTTAAAAATAAAGAATCTATAGGGTCCTTAAAATCCTTGAAATTAGCTGTAGACCAACAGTGGCAACACTGCAAGGTAATGATCTACTTTCCTTTGTCGGGGTGCTTTACCATGGTAATGATATTGAACAAACAATAGAAACAGAATAACGAAATGGCTATATAGAAATTTTAAAAATCGTTGGATCGGGCGAAGGGTACCACAGCATTGGCCGGCTAGTTCGTCAGACTTATTAAACCCGTTAGATTTTTTCTTCTGGGGTACTATGAAGGTTAGAGTGTATGAGTATGACACTCTACCAGTAAATGAGGAAGCCTGTAGCAACTGTGGAAATATTGGAAAATGTGCAACAGAGTAATCGAAGATGTACAGCTTGAATAAATAACCAGGGTTGTAATTTAGAACATTTGTTGTAATTATTAATGTACCGACTTAATCTTAATTGTTTTCTAGTTCCACTATATTCCTATTGTTTGTTTTATCGTATTAAAAGTCATTTTGATATTTGTTAAATGTTGAAACAATTACCTATTATTATCAGCTTTCGAAAATTCAATGTTAAAACATTCCAACAGCGATGTCACATTTCCGTATATTGAAAGCTTTATAAACCTAGGATTAATACAAATAGAATTTTTTACATGATTTTCCTTTATTCACTATAATGTGCGCCATTGTTTGGTGCCGCGTTAGTGCGCCATTTTTGATACACGGTGTATACAATAGAGGGGAGTGGTATTTTAATCACGGGTAACTAGAGCACAAATTTAAAAGACTAACCACTATAATGGATGCTATTATGTGACAGATAAATCTAGTGCAATGTTACAATAGCTATTTGTGCAATAAGATAGGAAAAGTGACATTTTTCCACATTCTAGACATGAGATTTTTGATGGAGACGAAGTCGAGATCAAAAACATGTCGTGAATGTGGAAAAACACTTTTCCTATCAAATTGCACACAAGATTTTGTAAAATTAGGTGAAAAAACTCTTCATTATAAATTTAATTGAATGATAAAGTATCAAGTCCCTTTTAATGCAATAAATTTGTTGTTATGGAAAATACAAACAAACAACGCAACATTTTGCAATTTTTCAACGTTTGAAGTGTTTTGGGTGTTTCTTGAGGTAAAAATGTTGGAAGATGATGTTGCATCAGTATCTTTTGATGTTGAAGAGTCAGCCAAACTGGCACGCAATTCACTATTGCCCGAGAAATCAAAGAAAAAATATAAAAAGGCGTACACGGAGAAATGGTGTTTGATATTGTTTTGTTTTATTTTTCCACTCTAGTTAGGAAAAATTTCACTTTTCCAAATGTGGAAAACTAGAACAATTAACAACCGAATTTTATAAATTTATTTAATACGTCTGTGGTGAAGGGGTGGTAATAACAATTTTTACTTGATGTGGAAAAAAGCCATACATGAAAAACAACAATAAAAAATTTGCATGCAAAAAACATGTGATTAAATGTGTAAAATACTGTCACTGTTTGTATTTCATTTAAAAACGAAAACACAGTAAACGATAAAGAAGGTGCTGATTTATGACAACCTAATTTTATGGCTTGTTTTTCTATCGCTATCACCTATCAATGGAACTCAACGAAAACTATTCCTATGCAAATTTAAGCTATTCAAAGACAAAGCTTGGCCTCGAGTCATACTGATTTGGAATACAAATTAAGGATGATACTGAGCGGGAAATCGAAGAGTGCAATTTTTTGCTGAGCAAAGGTACATGCGTGTTATCGGCCAAAGGTCGGGAGCTGTGAATAAATACACGAACACGTTTATAGAATATGCTGTTTCATGATATCAGTATTTGTTTGTTAGCTTTTATTTACAGATCTATAGAAGTAAACATGTTTAAAAGATATACCGGGTGGATTAACTCTCCGCTACAATCTTAACAATCAACTGGTGTGTCTGGGGAAAAATAGTAAAAAAATTCCTTCTTACACTTTGGCAGAGTTATAATGATTTTAAAATTGGTCCTTTTGCTCCGTTTAACAACTACACAGTCATTATTACAATAACTAGTAATAAAACTTTTAGTTAATATTTCTCGCGCCAATGATGATGTTTAATTACCATTTCAGTTAGAATCAGAAGAGTTATTATCCATTCACGATCTTTATATAGTAAAGTAGGCTTTGATATTTTTTCTTTAAGTTGGATAAACTGATTTGATGATTTAGTTTTCTGTCTGTCAGTAGTCTGATTGACATTTGCTTTGAGTTGGATTGCCACTTTTCTACTTCATTTATTAGATCAGAATTATTAGACGTAATTTACTCTTTTGGCATATTCTAGGGAACAGTTGGAATTTAAAAAGGGGGGGCGAACCACATTATACAAAATTCTTAAGTCAATGGGTTATAAGCACAGGGAAGTAAATGGTCGCAAAATTCTATGTGTACAAAAACATGTCGTTGCAGCCAAAATTACTTTTTTGAGAACATATTTACAGTTTCTAA